ACGATGACAAAAACAAATCTGAAGAGCTGGTGAGCTGCCCTTCAAGATCCTTTTAGGATCCCTGTATTTAGCTTAATGTACGTAGCTCTTTTCTACCCTCAGCTCAGAGGGCTTACTCTGTCTTTCAAAGTAAAATACTTCTGCCTTTTATTTACATGGTCCTGATTTCTCAGAGTTGCACAAACCTCCAGAATAATTCATGTGGTTTACTTTGGTAGCACTTCCTACCTAATGATTTAAGGTCAGGCCAAGAATTTCACCTTAAATCCTTAACATCACTTATAAATACCCTTCTCAACAAGGCATAGAAGGGAGATTTTTTTACATCACATAACCTATCATACAAGCCCAGAAAATACATATATTGTGCAGTGTTTTCCAAGGAAAACATGCACACCATTTTTACCAAGGAGACTCTAGAAGACACTTGGAAAGCAAAAAAAGGAGATCCAAAACCAGCTGCTGCAAAGCCCTTAAGAAAAGAGACTTCTGAGAGGCAGACTTGTCAGCTAAGCCTAGACTGTACTAAGAAAGAGGTCTCATCTGTAGCTTCAGAGATTTCCTAGCTCTAAAAACCTTCCTTTATTGCTTCTTCTACACTCTTAGTCCTTGCCAACCTGGGGTGGGGGGGAAACACGAACCAGAAAATGAATCGACCAGGGTATCGCGCAGGTTTTCAGTAAGCTTTTGGTTCCCCTTGAAAGCGCTGGTGCAGGCTGTGAATGCCCCTGTCTGGCCAAAAGCCAGGAGCCCCTTCCCACCTGTGCACAGCCGTGTACCACCCCGCTGCCAGGGTGAGGTTGATGGCCACGTCCACGGGGATCATGTCGGCCACGGCTTCGTTGTTGGCGATGACGGTCCGCAGGATCCCTTTGCCCGCCTGTGGGACGAAGGGGAACAGTCACCAACCTGTGCCTGGGGGTGAGATTTCACTGGCAAGATTTCATCAGGACCTCAGCTTTTTTCTCTTCAGTGAAAACAGAGGCTAAAAAAAAAAAAGCTGAAGCCTCCAAAATAATTTCCCAGTCAGAGCCCGACGTCCCTGGACGGCCTCCCAGCTGAGGTGCTTTGGGGCCACTCACTGTCCAGGACACAAATTAAACCAGTTCTGCCCTACAGCTTCGCTGCCTTGCAGGGAGAAAGGTCTTTACAAGTAATATGGAACAGTGAGACAAAATGCCTCAATTACAGCCCAGCAGAAACATAATTGATTTCATTTTGTTCCTCAATCAACACAGCTCCCCACAGCAGCTGGAGAAACTGTAGGCAAAAGGAACATAATTAGATTATCAAGAACAACTTGGGCTCCCACATTTCATGAATATTTAAAACAAATGTATCTGTTCATGGAATGAAGTGATCAGACTCAAATATTGTGACTGAGGAAAAAAAAAAAAAAAACTCTTTGCCAGGTTTGGAGTTCAGATTCTGCCCAGGATCATCTGAGCCAAATCTGAAGCTGGGGGTTGTTCTCCCTTGTGGGATGAGCTTGGGTTTGAAGCTGAAAGTGGGTATTTTGATATGGGGTAACAATTCAAATACACAAAACCAAACTACCAGAACACTTCTCTTTTGCTTTTCCATCCTTAATTAAGGCAAATAAAGCTACTTGTCTAATAAGTGCAGTTTGAAATATAGCTGACCAAGAGAGCTGGTTGTACTGACACAACTTTCAGATAATCAAACTAACGCACAACTCAGATATTCGAGGATTCATTTTTTAAGATACCAAACAGGAATGACCAATTCACCATATCCAAGCACATTAATTCCTGTATTTATTAATTAATCCTGCCCCAACCCCAGAGACCAAAAGTCTCTTGGGTCCCTAACAATAAATACCTTTCCCTTCCAGAAAACATTCCAAACAACCTGGTCTCTACACCCTGCATCTATTGTCATTGTTCTTTGTCTTTTTCTTGGTTAAGCCTCAATGTAGTTAAATATCATATTTCAGTACTGAAAACCTTAGTGCAGATGACAAGACTTTCATTGTCTCTTTATCCCCCACACTGAAAAAACTCAGAGTTTCAATCCTGAGCCAAAAAAATACCATCTCTATTTCAAATCTTTCAGTGCAGGTCAAAGCTTTTATATAAAAAGGAAGGGAAGCTATTTCCCACAGTGACCCTAGAACCTCATAATCTTTACTTGCCATGGAGTTAATTTAGAGCTAAAGATGCAGGCTGGCATCTGCATGCAGAACCTGGCCCACCTGAAACCAAGAGCAGGTTTCACTGTTGCATTTAGTAGGGCTAGAAAATGTTTTGGTTTTGAAGAACTGGTATGAGTGACAAGGGATAACCACGTAAATATATCTTAGAACCGTGGAAAGATTTGGGTTGGAAGGGATCTTAAAGATCATCTTGTTCCACCACCCTTGCCATGGGCAGAGTCACCTTCCACTATGAAAGAAGATTTTGGGGCTGTTGAATGTCTCTGGAATGTGTAGTGGGGTCTCAGATTAAAGCATTAGCTGGGATATCCACATTATTTGTCCTGTGGATTCCAACAGCAACTGTAACAGTTTTATTTGTGCTCTACTTCAGGTATAAGTGAGCTTTTTTTTAACAAAATGATATTTGGATTTTATTCTTCCCTCCTATGATTGCAGACTACTAATGCTTTTATACACTGCACCAGGCTGATTATACAATAGAGTTCTGACAAAGCAATCAAGTTGGACAAATCACATGTGAACAAAAATATCTTGCCCATAGCTATGCAGCATCATGCACTGACAAGCAGACCTAAGGCAGTGATTTTAATTCAGAGAAAAAAATTATAAGGCAGGAGAAAAGGTATGCAACTTTACTGTATTCATATATGAAATTGTAATGATTAACTTTGATATTACAGGGACTATTTTGTCAAGTTCTTATTTACCTTACGGTTTGCTCCTCACCATTTTGCACAGCAGTTATTTACACCAGTGTTAAGCAAGAATACAGTGAATTATTCGAGCCACTGGCAGAGCCTGAATCAATCACACACATTGTTCAAGTCCAGTCTGCACAAGGAGAAATCCTGTACAAAGCAATGGCAAGTGGGACCCAGAATCTCTGGTATTGTGGAGGGGGAACAAACTATAGCAGTGGATTGGGAAATCACATACAGAGGGAGATGAAAGGATAAATACTGCTGCCTTGTATTGATGGTATGGGAACCTGGTTTGGAAAATAAAGCTGTGTAAAGAGATTCAAGCTCTGACATCTCTGAATTACCCGAGTTTCAAGAATGCATCTTCTGCGTCCTACAGGCATGCAGACGTATGGCAAGCGTGTGACATCTTTCTACCAGACCCAGAAACCTGCTGTGATCCTTTTTTTTTGCACACAGTTTATTAAGTTGTGCTGCTAAAGTAAAGTACCTCGAATTCTACTTTAAGGGGAGTTTGAACAGTAACCAGACCTACCGCAATAAATATTCCACTCGTCCCGTTGAAGTTGTCAATCCAACCCTGCCAAAAAAGAAGAATGATCAGCGTTTCTTTCAATGACATGTCGCTTGCAGAGGCTTGGGACAGTGCTATAATGGTGTGGTGTGGACAAATCAGCAAGGAGACACCAGTTTAGATGGATGCCAGCCCAGCTGGGACAGCTGCCAGGACACCAACCTGTACCAGGGGATACACTGTCGGACACCTCGTTCTGTCTGCAATTTACCCACCACCAGCAAGAATCCAAGCTTGTTTTTAGAAACCACTTCTCCCCCATTTCTTGGCTGCAGGAATAATATCTGCCTTTAAACACTGCAGTGTCTTGGTGCTGTCACACTTGCTGAAAACAGTCGGTGTGTTATTTACCCTCTAACAGAAAACACGGTGATGTCACCGTGAGGGATTTGGTTACTCTGGCTGATTTCCAAGGCAAGGAAGGAAAAAAAAAACCCCAACTGTCCCACTCCACTTCTGAAACACATTCTTACTTCAGGTCAGGGAAGCTGCCACTTGTGGGAGCTGGAGTTGGGAGCAGTCTGATCTGGAACACCTAACAGAGCTCCCTCCCTCTGCCTTTCCAAGATGGGGAGCCTGGCCCGGAGCCTCGGCTCTATCTCAGCCATCTCTGGCACACTTCGGGCTGCACAGGAGCCAAAGGTGACTTTCTGTTGCCTTTCCAATTTGGCTGCAGTGGGAGGGTACATTATTCTAACCAGTATATATTTAGCTTAATGGATGATTTCATTTCCAAAAGTACAGCTGCATTTAATTACCGTGTGCCTGACATCTGTATCTGCAACGGGCCCACCCAAGTGTGGCAAATTCAACGACTGCCAACATAAACCAGAGATACTGGTTAACTGCACGTGACATCATCCAATGCTTCCAAGGACCATGGAAGCCTAGAGTGCTGATAGGTTGAGCAGACCATGGAAAGACTCAAACCAGAAAGCACCGGGACTACAACTGACCCTCAGAGCTCACGTTCCGAACACAGAAACTCCCCTGGGTGTCTGAACAGATAATCAGCTTCAGGTTCAGCATTTTGCACCATAACTACCCCAGCTCTTTTTACTGCTTGTTCTTTTCACTTGGAGACAAGAGCCCCTCCTGAAGATGCTGAAGAAGGTTTGCTGTTCTACTCCAGCACAGGCTCTCCATGTTTTCCTATATTTTCGTATGAACTGGAGTACCTACTTCTCAAGTGGACACTGCTACCCAAGTGGAGGGAGAGATTGCTGACAGCACCACATCCCCAGCTGCACCAAAGGGCTCTCAGTAGGGAATGGTGCATCCATACTTACCGGGAAAGGCTCGTGCCAGCTGGCTCCCACGATGGACGGCCTGATGATGGCAATGTTCAGGTTCCCTTTCTCCTGCTGAATCAGGTACTCTGACAAGGCTTTGGTGTAGGTGTAAGTGTTGGGCCATTCCCCAAGCAACTTGGGTGTGATGTCTTGAATGATGGATTCATCCAACCACCTACAGGAAACAGGGAGAATGTCATTATCCACCCTGCAGGGAGAGAAAAGACTCAGGCAAAAAAGACTGGTGAGACAGGAATCCTCCCCTGAAACAGAGGTCAAAGCCACTTAAGGTCTGGAGTTAGAACAGCTCTGTGGGAGAAAGGTTACTTTTGTGCTCAAGGTGCAAAATAAACCTGGTGAGCTTCACACTGCAATGCCCAGCTCAAATCCAGGTAGCTGTACGATCTCAATTTAGAGCAATCTCTTGCATGCTTTATGCTCCACTGCCATCTGTAACATAAATACAGCCTGACTGAGCTCTCCAGCCTAGCAATCCCACTAGGCAGAGCTCATCCTTAGCCAACACAAGCCCCTGTATGCTCCAAGGACATTCCAGGAGATTCTGGGTCACCTTGAGTTCCCAGGTCACGCAGCATTTACAAAGGTCTCAAAAGCTGGGACCACATACTACAGGATGATTATTCCAGCAGCACCACTGACAGTGTTAATGCTCCTTCTCACAGGTTTTCCAGGGGTTTGTTCACGCAGGACAAACACTGAAACTGATGGTGCTTTAAAAAATAAAACCCAAACAAACCAAAAGAACCCTACCAAGTATTTTTTATCTTGTTTAAGGTAAGCAGATATGTAATCCATCAAAAGTAGTTATGCATACACCTTTCAAAAAGCAGCCCTGACCACCACGGTGCTGCAGCAAGGGCCTAAAAATCCCTAAGGCTCTTCGCTGGCACACCATCAGGACTTCACAGGTCCTGCCAGCATCTGGGTCTAAAGACAGGAACTGGCTGTGCTTCCAGAGCCCTCACGCCACTGCCAATCCCCGACAGGCCTTCCAGCAGCCTGGTGTTACACCACAGAATCAAAGATTAGCTCCTCTAATCCAATTTGTAATTAAGTCCACGGGCTTAACAGTTCAGTCTGAATGGGTGCCCTCTTCCCAGGGGGCACTGCAGGGATGCTGCTTCCCGCAGATCCTCACTTCACCCCTCCCTGTCTTGGGTTTCAGGAACGGGCAGAGGTCAGTGGGAGAGAGAGAACGGTGCAGGTTGTCACACCTGAGGAATTACTGGACCACATCAACTTAACCCTGCGAGCACCTGGTGGCTCAGGTGGCACGGCACTTTTTTAGGTGGCTCCCATCAGGCACAGATGGAAATGTTACAGGAAAACTGTTGCATGAGAAAACCACTGATTCACTGAAACTGCTGAACAGCCAGGAGGGGAGGCTTGAATTAAGTGAATCAGTTTTATAATGAGTTAACAAGAATATGACAGTTTTTAGTATATAGAATTTATTTTTTATAATAAAAAAGCAGCATGGTGGCACAAATTCTTTCCTTTGCAAGCCTGGTCCCGTGCTTCAGAAACAAGGCAGAAAAAGTGTTTAACCACAAAATATGAGTAGAAATACATGGAGGTTATAGAGCAGCACATAATACTGACCTAATCTGCATAGCCTGTTTAGGCAGCCACTGAACCTCAGGGTCTCAGCTAAATTGCCACTGTTTGAATCTGTTGAGTAACTAATTAGAAGGCTACCAAAAAGGAGAGGCCTGTTTCTGCAGGGCCTCAAGGAAGACTAGTTTCATTTGGGAACTCAGATTAAGTCTTTTTTCTCCTTCTCTTTTTTTTTTCCTGTTGCTTTTTGTTTCGTTGGGTTTCTGTTTGGGGTTTTTGCTTGTCTTTTTGTTTGCTTTTTTAATTTAATAATAACAGGGTCTTACAGGTTTGTGTTCTCACATGGCAATGACAGGGACAGAAATACAAGGAGAAGTGATTTCCCCTCACCCCCATCCTTCCCTCAGGTCTCTGCATTGCTTTAAGCGGTCATCAAGAGGACCTGTCTCAAGGGTACCATCCTGCCAGGTGAGCTGATCCACCAGCACTCCCATCACGGGAGCTGAGCTGACAGGTCAGCCAGGCGAACGCTCCTACCCCTCTGTGACCTACTTACAAGATTTTGAAATGCCAGCTCACAAAGCCACTACTTTTGCCTCACTGCTGCAGTTGCCCCCTAGAAACAAAAGATGCAAATCAAACCACCACCAGCTTCTCCATGCACCAAATGAATCTGCCCACAGGAAAACATAACCTTCTGTGTTAATCACTTCGCATTAATTAGACTGTTTCTCGCAAGTGAGGACTGAATTGTAATTTCTGCAATAACAAAACCAGTTCTGCTTCAGCCCACAGTTCTCTGTGCACCGTGTTCCTTACCTCAGCACACCCTTCAAAGCTGATTTCCTTCAGCTTTGAGATTAAGGCAAACCATGCTTGATGCAGCAGATTATTTGTTTCCCCTATTGGCCTGGCAGTACTTTGGGAGTGTGACTTTTGGTTTACACAGCTTAAGCCTGAGGCTTTACTCGCAGGTTAAATATCAAAATACAGAAAACCCAAGATATAATGGGAGGATAAGAACAGAGAAAGAAACAGCTGGGAGTCCTACTTGGGATTTCAGCTGAATAAATAATCGTAAGCATATATCAAGTGCAGGGCCAGAAGTGTCGTTAAATGGATCTGTCATTGCACCCAGTTCTATGATTATCCCTCTTAATGCACTTGCAGAAGAGCACTTTAAGGCAAGGGTTGTTTGTGAAGGGGATCTTCCACAGCTGGTTGATGCAAAACATGACCTGTATTTCTCCCCTCCTTTTTGAAGCAGTTTTGATGTCCTTGTCTGCTCCCCATCCCTCCACTTGGAAGGTAACATTCTGGTATCTCTTAATCTCCTCTCTCCAAAACCTTCTGTGCCCAGACATCCACACGCTATTTCTTTCACTTACATGCACGGTGAGCAATAAAAGGTGCATCTCTCCCATCTTCTTGCAAACCCTGCTTCATCTCCCCTCTCTTCCTCCAAGCAATCCTCTGCTCTTTAGAACCTCCCAGTTTTCTCTGTCCCACTCTGCCTACAGTATGACATCCCAGATCCTTTCCCCATCCTGCTCCTCCTCACACTCTGCAGCCCCATGCATTTCTTTCATGCCCTGCCTTTGATTTGCAGAACACCTGCCAAACCACTGACCCTGGGGAGAGTGATTTCCAGCAAGGCCCACCTGGTTTCTTTGCTGTGAGCAAATTAAATGCTCCCTGCAAACACTTGCAGGGAAACAGATGCCATCCTAGCTGAGGGCATTGCTGTAATTTCTGCCCCACTGAAAGTACCAGAAGTTGGTTGGTTGGTTTCTGGAGTAGGGGATGTAGGAAAAACATAAAAAAAAATTTAAAAAGCTACCGAAAAAAAACTAAGAAAATTTATCTGTAATTATGTGACTAAGAAAATAAAACAATCAAAGAACACATCTCTGTCATTTCAAACATCATCCTCTCTGCTGCACTTGCAAGCTGTGATAAGTAAATTCTTAGGGTCTCATATGAAGAAGCTGAAGCAGCAGCCTCTGAGGTAGTCAGGTCCTTCTGCACATCTCTGATTAGCAACCAGACCTGTGCTGGAGTCATTTTTTTATCTGAGACGTCAACACCAATTGTTTTCAAAGCTGCAAGCGATGGTAATTCCTGGGGCAGTGAAATGGAATATTGACAGTGATGAACTCCAAGGGACACTGGAAAACTGAGGCAGTGGGCAAAAAGGTGACAGATTGGCTTCACTGTAAATAAAAGGTTGGGGATTTAGGGAATCTGCATTTAGGGAAAAGCTATCTACCAAAACTGGTCTGAGAGGTTGCTGAGCTTAGAACTGGCACTGCAAGAGCTCTGGAATCACAGCTGACAGCTCCATGAAACCTCCATGGTGATATCCAGGCTGGTGCAGTTCCTCTAAATATAAAATACCCAGTGCCACTGTTGAGGGCAAGATATTGGGCCAAGCAGTCCTTTCTCTAATGCATTAGGGCATTTCTCATGTTTTTATCATGCTCCACTTACTGGATAAATGATAAATGACAGATGACTACTAGCTGGAAGTAAGTATATCCAAGAACATGGGCCACTAGAGAAATTCAGATAGAAAATACTGGTTTGTACTAAATTTTCTGGATTAGCTCTTAGGCACTGAAACAGTTTCTTTAGACAAACGTTTATCTTTTTTTTTTTAATAAGGAATCAGTGGTTCTCCTGGTGGACATTAGTTAATCTCATCTCCTATTACCTATTATCAGGAAGAAAGATTTTACGCCAGCTCTTGGTGCTACTAGTCCACAGATCAGTTGCTTATAGCACCCAAGTGGAACACCAGTAGAAAATTCATGAAGATGCACATCTGTAGGAAAATTCTTCAAAGGGGAATGTTTCCTGGGGCCTTTATCAGCTGATTTTGTTATCCTTTCTAATTATTCTTCATTTGGTAAATTCAGTTAAACAAAGAGCTTTTGGTGCTGGATTCCAAGTGCCTCAAGTTGCACTGGGGGAGGTTCAGGAAGAATTTCTTTGTGGAAAGGGTTGTTAAGCATTGGAAGGGGCTGCCCAGAGAGGTGGTGGAGTCACCACCCCCGGAGGTGTTCAAGTAATGACCAGACATGGCACACTGTGCTATAATTTAGTTGACAAGGTGGTGATCAGTCATAGGTTGGACTCGACGATCTTGGAGGTCTTTTCCAACCTTAATGATTCTGTGGTTCTCACACTGAATTCTCTAGAAAAGCCTGTTTCTGATTCATCCCCATACAACTCCCATTTAATACCACGGGATTTTTGAAATGAGTGTAAAAAAACCAATGTTGCGAAGCTGAAGAGATTAAAACAAAATAATATAAGGTATTTGAAAAAATTCAGTTCTTACTACGGCAGCCTGTTAGAGAGAGCAGCAACTCCACTCCTGGCAGCGAATACACCCCTTTTGTGTGCAGGACTTAATGCTGGGCTCTCATGAAATCAAGAGTCCTCCAAAAAACCCCCCACAGAAACAGCAATTAACAGCACCCACGGACAGAAACCCCACCCCACAGGTCGTGTGGCCGTCCACAGCCCTGCAGAGCGGGGAGGTGATGAGGTTCCTACTCACTCTACTAAGTCGAAGAGCTTCTTGGGCTCGGCTGGGGGCGGGTAGATGATCTCCTCGATGCATTTCCGGACGCAGTTTGCATAGGCAGTGGAGATGTGGATGAAGGCCTCGAGGTTCTGCATCTGCCGGGCCAGCTCCAGGAGCCGCTGCGTGCCCATGACGTTCAGCTGCAGGGCGTGCCTGAGGAGGGCAGGGGAAGCAAAAACAGGAGGAGTTTCACTGGGAAGAACGTGCTAAGAATGAGCCTTATCCAAACCCCTTCGTGAAAGGAAAGGGAAGCCTCCAAGAGCAGGGGGACACAGCAGAGCAGATAAGCAGTGAAATGCAAGGGCTAAAACAGCTTTTCAGAGCAATGCTGCTGGAGCTGCTGTTCTGGGCAGGGAATGTCTCTCACTTGTTTTTACTCCATTTGAAGGGTCACAAGTATCACTTCACTAACATCTCTATATCTGACATATCTGCCACCCCTTCCTGGGACAGCTACTTCTAACAACTGTGGTCTTCAGCACTGGGGTTCCTCTGGTACCCATTCCACGTTCTGCTTAGGGGGTCAGATAAACACATGGTTTCAGTAAGCAGCAAAAGGTCCTTGGGCCCAGAAAAACGTAATTCATAGAACTGCCTGGCTTGGAAGGGACCTACCTTAAAGATCATCCTGTTCCAACCCCCTGCCATGGGCAGGGACACCTTCCACCAGCCCAGGTTGCTCAGAGCCCCATCCAACCTGGCCTGGGACACTGCCAGGGATGGGGCAGCCACAGCTTCTCTGGGCAACCTGTGCCAGGGCCTGCCCACCCTCCCAGGGAAGGATTTCATCCTCATATCCAGTCTAAACCTACTCTTTCGGTTTGAAGCCACTCTTAATCAAAGAAGACACAGTTAGCGATAACAGCTTAAATTCCCAAGGAGTGGAGGGCTGATAAGCACATGAGAGTGTCCTAGTTAGCAAGATTGACCTTCAAGCACCCAGCATGGCTAGAAGTTGTCCTAGAGACTATCTGCAGTGGATCTGAGCAAACAGATGTACAGCTCTGCTGCACACTTTGTACTGGAAGAGAGACACTTTCCTGCACAGGAGGGACAAGGATAAGGAATATGCAATCTGTTCAGCCCAGCTTTCAACAACTTTACAACATCACAGCATTTCAACACCATATTATGAATAAAACTATCAAGCACAGTGTACACCAACAAAGTTAATTACCTTGAAGATAAACTGTAAACAGTCCAGAGAAACAAAAACAAAAGCTAAGAGAATGTTTATTATCTGGATCGCAGTATCTAATGCCAGAGATACTTTTCTTTTTACATGCTGCTGTTAAAGAATAGCATTTTCCATACATTGCTATTTCTTTTTGCCCTTCTAGCAGGATGGATGCTCCTACTTTAGCTACCCTTCCTATGAAAGCCACTTTTCTGTTCCATTCCATCCTTTCTGAGAGGGGGTGAACAGAACTGTGCTCATGATACAGGCCCAGCACGGATTTCTGCTGAGATGCTCAGAGTTCCTTTAGCCTTCTAAGGGAGTATCATCTAACCCTCTAACTCTTTATATATTCTATATATATATGTCTTAAACCAGCATCTACTAATATTTCAATAAAACAAAATTTCAGGGGTTTCTGCCCTCAAGAGTTTCATCTGGAGAATTCTCTAAACGTACTGCATGTTGATGCCAGTAATTAATTTAGTTTCTTGATTGCTGATTGTCTCGTATCTTGCTGACATTGCTTCTTCACCTCCCTTATCTACTGGCTTTACATATTCTGTGGCAATCTCTGGACTTCTGCCATGTTTAAAAAATAGGTGTTTGTTTGTTGGTTTTTTTTGGTCGCTATCAAGTTGCTGCTCGAAATCCTTTTTTGAGCATCAATATTGTGCTCTCACATTTCACTTGCTAGAAATTTTACCCATCTGATGTATTTTGTTATTTAGACAGGAATAGTTTGATTTGAACAACTTCTCATATTTTGCCATTTAATCATACCGGATTTTCTTTGTTCTGTTGGAGAGATTTTAACAGATTACATGCAATCAGTCTTTAAATAGCTTCTACACTCTTCCTGTGAGCTGATGACCATTTAAACTTTTAACTTCTTTCTAGCTATCCTCCTTATTAAAAAATGGTTTCCCTTTGATGTTTCATGCCATTAAGACATATTTTTAAAGCATGTTTATTTGTGTATTGATTTAAGAACATTTATGGCTATTAATGCAGCGCTTTGGTGCTTACATCTTTGGCACTTACACCCTACATATGGCTCAAGATTACATCAAGAGATGCTTCCTTTCTGGTGTTTCTCTAATTATTTGTTCTAAAAAGCAAATACTTGTGGTGGACATAGCGGATATCTATTTATCCTAAGCACAAGCAAATGAAGATTGATATAAATAACTATGTTTTCTACTCTCACAGCTTTAGTGTTGCCCAAAAACCTATGAATATCTGGCAATCCTGATCAACCACCACAGTTTGTTGAACTGTACCATCTGCACAGAAGCACTCACACATCTAATCTTGGTTTAGTGGCTTATTTCTGGTTTTTTTTTCTTAATGGAAAAGCCTGCCTGGACAAGCACTCCCCGGGGGGAAATCCTTCAGAAACCCAGCACTTATTGTAAACAGTTAATTACACTGAGTGTTGGCTATTTTCTCAAACCACCTCTCATTTCCCTCTCCAGTTAGTCAGTGACAGGAGAGGCCATTAACACTTGCTCTGGAGACAGACACAGCACAGTTCCACTTCAAGCTGTCTCCAGCTCTGCCCAAGCAGAGACAGACACACTTCGAGTGACCTCAAACACACTTTTCCCCACCCCAGTTTTAGGTCATTCTTAACTCCCTTATTGTTTTACGACCCAAGCTTGCAGTACTTCCTTTCTGTTCCCAGGGAAATCTGCCAAGATGCTTCGCTTTTGACGTGCACACGACATTTTCAGAGCATTTACGCCGCACCTTCAGCCCAGCAGGACGTGCAGCACGGACACGTGAGTGGAGAATCCACCACTGCAGGCGCAAAGAGGTGCTCTGAGCAGCGTGTGGCGGGGCTGCTGTGCACTCTGAACCACGCTCAGCAAACACAGAAAGCAGGACATACTTCAGGGGCTCATCAAAGCGAACAGTCGCCGCACAGTGGAAGACAATATTGACCCGGGTCAGGAGCTCCTCCTCGTCTTCAGCACTGATGGCCAGCTTGGGCTGAGTGAGTTCAGCATTAATGGGCTTAATCTTCTCGTGGAAATTAGGGCAATCTTCTCGGACCCTGTCAAAGACCTTGAAGCACAAACAGAGAGAGATCAGGTACAGAATTAGGCTGCTGAGATCGCTTTGATTAGCTGCCAGTCTGACTACATCAATCAACGAAACTGGCACTAAAGAGAGTGCCTGTCTAGGAGGACACAGGTGAGGTGACAAAATAGTTAATTCACTTGTTCCCCCCCATGGGAACAACCTCACAGGCGAGACAGAACAAAGTAGAGGAGGTAGTGCATTGCCCTGAAAAGATTAATGAATTTTCTCTGGACCACTCATTTCCTTGGACAGCCACTGACATTCCTCTGCCTCCATGTCTCCTGCAACCACCTTGCCTCAGGGGCTGCCTGGAGGACCCTTACAGGAGCTAAAGGGAAGGAGGGCAGAGTATGGAGTGGGAAAGCCTGTGCAATATTAGACTCAAGCAACTTTCTTGATGGTTCTAGAAAGGCCTTGTGGAGAGGAGGGGGAACAGGGCACGTTCTCTCTCCTCCTCTTCCTTTGCTGCCCCTTGTCTGCTGTCACTCTTTGTTCACGTCAGATAAGTCCCATAGGGAACTGCCTTTGGGATAACAGCCCAGCAGGTCTGGGTGCCCTGTTGCTCACACCATGAAAGCAGATGGCTACAGCAACTTCCAGCTGGAGACCTTTTACTCTGTAATCTCACAGGAAAAGAAGACCAAGCCTGAATGTCAAACCGCTGTGAGTTTGCTGGAGCAGGATTTCAAAAAAATCACCTGAAGTTTTAGAAGCACCTGTTTCAAGGGCTTTGTATTGCTGCCCAGCATTATTATATTTGAACAATTTTCAACCAAAAGAAAAGTAGCCAGTTAGTCCAAAAAGCTCCCCTTGTCCTTTTTTTTTTTCCTTTTTTTTTTTTTTTTAGGGGGGGAGGATAAAGAGTGGCAACACAAAAGGCAGAATGAACAAATAAAATAGAAAGGCTGCAAGACCTGAAGAGGTACAATCTAGATTTCAAAGGTAAGGAGTGTACTAACAGGAACTACTGGGAGAGATTACTGGGGCGTGATGCAAAGGGTGCATCCTGCCTTTGGGCACACTGAAGAACTGTCTAGATAAGCAGGGAACAGCTGAGCTTGCCTTGGGGCAGGAGGGTGGACCAGCTGACTTCTCAGCAGCTCTGTGGGTTTGGGGTGTTTCCCCTCTGCTCTGTGATTTGCTCACCAGTAACACTGAGCTTGGAAATCTCTTTACTGCCACTGTCTCTTGTTTTCCTAGAGATTGTTCTGTCTGATTTGCCTGGTGCTTATGTAAGAGCAGAAACTGTGTGACATAAATTAAACATACTAAAAGACACGTGAAAGGTGAAATTGATACTAAGAGCAGTATTTTCCTGTTTAACTAAGGGATTACCATCTTTCCCCTCATCTGATAATCAAGTCTAGATAAACCTTGAGGTTCTTAGGGGATAAGGAGGTGAAGATAAAATCATTAGCCTTCCCCATTAGGCATCACACTCTGTACTTGACTTCACGGATTTAAAATTGACACACAGCTGCACATCCTTCCTAAACCAGAAACTTGAGCAAGTTACAAGTTAGGACACAGTGATGCCATTTCACTGCTCTCAGCTGCACCTGACTGCACACACCTTTCATCAGCAGGGCTAGGCCAGAAAATAGATTTCTAAGACAGAGAAAGAAATTCATGGGCAGAACTGTTGGTGAGAGCTGGCTGGACTGCAGGAACTGAATTCCCAGGCACCAGCAGCCTTAATGCCTGTAAAAAGCTTGTTTTCTAACTAGATGCTGGATTGGCTCTCCAAAATATGCATCGTCTCGTGAGAGATCACAAAATGGAAAGGCTTCTCGGAGAACCCACGGGAGACCAAAGCTATCTTGTAGGAGTTTTGTTTGTATTTGTTTGTTGTATCGCAAAGAGAGTGTAGAACTCCACCAAATGAGAGTGATTTTCCTACTTGTTTTACTTTGGCACAAATAATGCAGAGGAAGAATAAACCAATCCTCTCACCACCTCAGTCACGGCATATAAAAAGAAGAGTAGCGCTTCTGCAGTGCCTTGCACAGAGTCTGGACAGTTCTATTCTGCCTAGATGCCACCTCCTCCTGACATTCCTACTGCAGATAACATCTCCCCCCTCAGTTTCTGTGCCTGCTGTTACCACGTGCCATTCGGCAGCTGCAGTTTTTTCACCCCCTTCCAATGATTCACTGAAGGAACGAAGGCAATTTCTGAATACAAGCTCACAAGTCAGCACACTGCTTTTTGGAAACCTTCTGGGCCACAGGAACATTCAGTTCACTGGCACCATTACATCAGATAACAGCAGCAGCTGTTTAATCAAAGCCTGCTGCCTCTTTTACGGAATCTGAAGATTTCAGGCTTGTCAGTGCTTTACAGGGAAGTGCAGAAGGATTTAAAGACAGAACAAATTCAGCTTATTCCATACTGTTTCCTACAGTTCAAGAAGTGCTTCACATAAAGAGTATGCTTAGTCTGCAGGTAAACCGTAATTGCATCTCCAAATTCTGCTCATCCAGAGCATAAAATAACAAATCCCTAAATAACTGCACGAGACCAAAGGGTTGTTCTGTGCTTCCTCTTTAGAAGCCCTCTGCCAGTATAAAATATATTCAGTGGGCAGAAGTGGGCTGGTGTGCTGTTACTGCTGGAACTGCATGAAAACACTGGCCATTGTCACAGAATTACAGTGAAGAGAGAGGCAAGGGTGTTTGATTTCAAGTTGCCCGATATTAATTACACTGAGGGAAATCGGTAAGAACGAGGCCCTGATTTCAGTGTCTTCTTGAGCAAGTTAATGCATGCCAGGGGCATGCACTGCTGCCTTGCCCAAACCAATGAATGACTCTAATAATTGCTATTTCCATTTTAAACCTCCAAATAGGATGCAACTTAAGCATAGGCTGTGCTGCCCCCTCAACTGAGATGAGAACTCCTTGTTTCTTATTTTATAACCAGGCAATTCTCATCTATAATAATAATAATAATAATCTAATCTCTGCATTTTCACTTTACACTGCCAAGCCCTTACTGTGAAAACAGGACATCTAGAATTTCTCCCAACATTTTATTTGAGTGTGTTTGATGGACATCTCTTTCCTTATTCCTGCCCACTTGAGCTGTGACCTCCCTCTCCAAAGGACATCTCAGTGTTCTCTGCTCCTGCCTTACAGCACATGTAATAACTCAAGAGAGATTTCTGCCTACCAATCCTTCCATCAGAAATTTTTTTCCTACCACAAAGAGACAGAAAAAAACTCAAAGAAAGGGGCAAATTGCTCATCTCTGGAACAGCACAGATGAGAAATAAAGGAAGCACCAAACACTGCAAAATACCAAAGGCTTTGCATCTTCCTCAGGACACAATTTCAGTGAAGCAAAGACAAACTAATGACAGCAGAGTGCCTAAGCCATGGTCTGCTTTAAAAAGGAACTTGCAGGAGTTTGGTCTTATAACTGCTTTTCAAAGCCATGGATAGTCCTTTTTTTTTTGGACCTATCAGTCCTCACCCCTAAAAAAACCAACTTACTCTAAGAGGCACCATGCAGGTGCAGGTAACCTTTTGTCCTCAGGTGTGTTTAATGGGATACTGGGCTCCTCTAGGAGGATTAATATGCACATTTCAAAGTACTACTGAACATTTCAAATGGAGAAAAATCAGAGAATTCCCATGAAATGGATCTCATGTACGAAGAACTACTGAAAATTTTGATTAAGGTTGAGAGACAAAGAAATGGAAGGGATTCTTTCAGGCAAAGAAATGGAAGGGTTTGCTTAGCCCTGAACTCAGGAGAATATAGGCATGAATTGCTATATTAATGAATTTATCCTAAGAAAGACAAAGGCCAAAGGGGTAAAATACTGTGGCAACAGTTTCTTTAAAGAATAAACAACAAGCTGTTCACTGGCTGTATGGAATAATTCTAAATCCAAGGTGGTTCAAATCCCTCTTCTGAACAGAGAAATGGTGTATAAATGCAGGGGAATAGCCTGTACATAAATACACAGAGTAACACCCTCTGAAGTGTACATCCATCCCTCTGGTGATTTCAATGGCAGCCTCACGAGTGACCATCACAAATTTAAACTACTGAAGGTACCAAAGTCGTGAAAACGACTCTTGAAAAACCCACCTGATCTCTGCAGTTTTGTTCTGATGAAAAAAGGGCTTGTCCCAGCTGTGTTTGCCATTGATAAAATCCTCCAGTACAGTCTTGAAGGAAGGAAGGTACATAACTACTTCTAGCATTGTCACTGTAGCAAATCTGATATAACTAGGCAGCTTCTTGACATAAAGTAATTAGCCTGCAATTAATTTTTAGCCTGGTAGATTTCCCAGCAATAAACACCAGGATTGTTCAGTCAAGAAATGTGTGAAAAGGCAGGTCAGGGAGCTTTAAACGAGACACAGCCTTTTTTTTCCCCCCTTTTGCACTCTCTGCCTCATTTCCTCTTCAGAAAATTGCTTTTAAGTACGGTTCTTCTCAAGGCAAATAAAGCATAATTCATCTAATCAGTTAGAAAGCATGCAGCGGAGCGTTCCTCATTATAGGAAAACAAATGGCTTATGCTTCAATCCAGAGTTATTACTTTCCCCTGAGCAGAGCTAATATAGTGGAAATGCAGCACCCACGCCCTGACATCAAGTAAACAAAACAAGCTGATTATTTAAAGACTCCAGAAACAAAGAGATGACAGAAAGCTTCAATACAGGTCAGCTAAGGCTAGTATGTATAGCCAACTACTTAAGATGTGGTTTCAAACAGCCAGTTTCCTTGAGAACTGGCTGCTGACAAAGCCTGCTGCTTTCTAGCAAGAATACTCGGATTACAATGTCAGGGAATCCGGAACAGGAAAAGGAGCTCTTTAGGAATCACGACGTTGCAGGGACTTTGACAGACATGGAAAGGCTTTCCATGGTCTCTGGTACCATCTTAGAGGTGGGTGGGCAAGCCACAGATAGAACATGGAGGGTTTTTTTTAGATTTATCACAGACGTTCCTCGTGCCCCTGCGTG